CGAAAAAAAAAAATATATATATATATATATAGAACTGCCCGGTAAACCGTAGGCAAAGAGACAAAAGAGGACAACAAATATATATATATATATATATATCGTCACAAACAGAACTGCCCGGTAAACCGTAGGCAGAGAGAGAGAAGAGGACAACAAACGAATATATTAATATATATATTGTTTGGACGCACGTCGTGATCCGTGGTACTGTGCTTTCGCATGTGCAGGTGCGTCTGGCCTTCCGCGTCCATAGAGCAGGGGCATCAACATGGACCGCGAACAACCTCCTGCAGCTCTGCCGCCGTCGCCGAAATCCCCGTTGCTTCTTACTCCTCTCTCTTCATCTCCATCCGCCTCACGCGCTCTTTCTTCTTTGCAAGGCTCTCCGGTGTACCATGATATTTCACACAGTCGAGGGAGAGGCCTTTGGATCCACGCGGACGCACTCGAACGGATTGTATATTGGAGAGACCTGCGACCAGGCAGCGTTTGGATGACAGAATGGCCATTTTGTCGTTCCCTACTTTGTTGAATTCGACAAATGTCACACAAACTCCTTTCCCGAGTCACATGCGTGCAGCCATTGCTGCAATCCCGGCTCTCCCCACTTTCGTTGGCGATCCCGCAACGTCTTCGTTTGCGCAATCCGCTGTGCTTTCTTCTCGTCCTCCATTTTCTTCGCCCATGGGCTCTCTCGCAGCGATGTTGCCGACGCCATGGTCCGGAAGTCAGAGCATGTGCGGTGTTCAACAAAGTCGTTTAGACGCCGCGCATCCATTTGGTTTGCCGCGGTCGTTCACGTCTTCGGGTCATGACAACTCCGACACGGTGCCCGTTGCAGGTGTCTTTGCGTCGGATCCTGTTCGTCGAACAGAAGAGACACGTTCACCGATCAAAGCAGTGCAGCCGACATCATGCACTCCGGTTTCCAGCAACCGTGCACGCGATGTTCTTTCCCCGACCAACGATAGCGAGGCTGGAATGAGTTTCTCGCCTCGATCGCCCCGCACGAGGTCCTGTACACCTCGTGAAGGCAAACCTCACTGGGTGCGATGTAGAGTTGATCAAAAAAATCGGTTGGGTAAGATTGCGAAGGCGATGGGGAAGAAGTTGTCGACTCACACTCGAGGCTCCAAAGATAAGAAAAAAAATCATTGTTCGTACGAGGACGTGTTCGATCAGCTCATGGAGTGGAGTTCCGTTCACATTGATGAGCTGATGTCAAAGTACGGCCCCGGCGAACAATCATCTGGCCATGGGGGTTCATGCGGACAAGGATCGGACGCAACGGCGACACCAAAGTCGCGAGGTGGCAGACCCCGCAGTGACGCATTGAAATGGCACGACGGCAAGCCGGGATATTCGGATAATGGTCCAATGTTTAAACGATTGAGCGTGAGGGACCAAATGGCCATGTGGGATGCTAAAGCAAGACCTGATGTCGTTTTCATTGAGCCGGTCAAACTTCTACAGATTCTCGGGATGTTCGAGCAAACATATCCTCGGCACGGGAAAGACGTTGAGGTGACGATCAAGAAGATCCATTATCCATGTCACATTTGCAAGTTGCAATTCGAGTGTGGGAAAGGGTGCACTTGGCACTGGAGTTCCGCGAAGGTTGTTTCACCGGGCGGGGTGAGAAATTTGAGGGCTGAGACTCAATTGTTCCACTCCACTTTGACTGCGGCAATGACTTACACTCAATTGAATAACCTCCTGCGGGGCTTAGGGATGAGGATGGTCAGGAAAAAAACTTTCTATAATTTTTTTTGTGATGACGGCCCAGGTTCCCGACAATGGTTGCGACACGTTGAACGGGTTACTCAAAAGAGCTTCGACAAGGTCATCGCGCGATTGCGTAGGTCGAACGATCCGGTCGTCGTTTTGGTTGACGGGCATTACGATTTGTCTCGTGACGCTCAACATTGTACGGTGACGGCGGTGGATTTGAAGTCAGGAATGATCGTGGGGACGGAGTCCATGCTCCGAGGGAACGAGTCGTCATGGAAGCTGGAGACACAGTGTGTTGAGAAACTGCTACATCGGTTGAAGGACGAGAAGAACCTCATAATCGCAGAGGTTGTGCATGATGACTGTGGCACGGTTGACGTCATATTGCGGCGAATGAACATTGACTCACAAAAGTGTATGCGGCATAAGGCGAAGACTTTGGTCAAACGCTTGCGAGAGACTGTGCGCGGCACGAAGACTCTCAAACCAGCTGCAGTCGGGGCTTGCGAGCATGTGCGCCAGGTGAAGTGTTTCACAAAGAAGGAGCTCGAACTTTGGCACGAATCGAAATGTGTACACGTGGCAGGGGTGTCCACGAGAAAAAAGGATGAACTTTTCAGATTGTTTGGGGCGTGCTCTTCCCCGACGAAGCAGGGAAAGCGTTGCCAGATGATGTCGTCGAGATCGACGCGTTGCAAACACTGCATTGCAATGCGGCGGAGGAGGCGAAGGAGTGGTTGTACGACGCTTGCAGGCTGCGCGAGCGCGCAAAGGATGACGATGGCGATGTGTTGGCCACGCATGTGCAACACCTCGCCGATCATTGGGCCGGGGATCACTCCTGTTGCGATAAGGAGTTGTCCAACCTGTGCAAAGCGGTTGGGGGTCCGGACAGGGATCCATTGTACGAGGCGGGGGGGCGTGTTCATCTCGTCGTCGCGCGCTGTCTTCAACAGTTCGCTTCGAATACAAAGATGGCGTACTACACACGTGCGAGGATGACCTTCAACAACGAGTGCTTCCACTCCGTGATCAACAAGTACGCAACGAAACGCTTGAACTTCCCCAAGTCGTATGAGGCGCGCGTGTGTTGCACCGCTTTGGAGTGGAACAAAAACAAACGAAKCAGGCGATTGCGAACGGWCTTCCGCAAACCWACAAACGTAACCCATCGACGTCRTTCCRCACGAYARCATATATACGCCGCACGGGATACGTCGTGGCGCTTCGACATTGCAACTGCAGTTTTTGGCAGCCCTCAGGTCGGAGATTGGGCACGTAACATGTTGCAGCAATCGGACGTC